CAAGGAGGCCTTGAAGTGACAAGGGATAATTTCATCCCCCTGTTTGACAACAACATCCGCAATTACAAAGAATGGCGTGCACGAATTTTGCTGTATGGAAAGAAAATGAGCACCCAGAACAAAGCCAAGGAGGCCACGATCAATCTCTTGACGAGTTTGAATGGAGTTTCTTGGCGACAAGTCGAACCCGACGCCGAGAAGCTTGCAGAAAGTGAAGATGGCTTCCCTCGCGTGTTGGCCCTCCTCGACAAGTGCTTCAAGTATGACTCGAGGGTCGAAGCCCCTAGAAGCATGGAGTTGTTTTTCTTCACCATGGGCCGACGCCCTGAGCAGACGCTTTTGACCTATGTGGCTGAGCACAAAGAACGACAACGTGAAATCGAACGCCATGGCATCAAAGTGCCAGATGCCATCAGCGGCTGGCTTCTCCTGAGAAGAGCTGGTTTGACCTTGGAACAACGTCACCTTGTGATGTCGCAAGTTGGAAGCGATACCGAGATCGCCAAGGTGGAGAGTGCATTGTATTTCTTGTTTGGACAGGATTTCAAGACTTCATCCTCCACCCGCTGGACTGGTCGCAATTCAAGTTCATCCTGGAAGAGCCGCAATGTTGGCCGAGCTTACACGACAGAAGAATATCAATATGATGATGAAGAGTTCGACTATGAGGCCTACACCTTGGAGGAGGAGAATCCTGAGCTCGACTACTTCCCTGAGGAAGATGAGAACACCGAGACAGGCTTCTATCAGGAAGAACCCAATGACGACGAACACGCTTTCCTGGAAGAAGAGTGGGACGAGGAAGTTGAGACTGCCTATGCAACCTATTTGGATGCCCGCAAGCGGTTCTCAGACCTGAAAGCCTCCCGTGGTTTTTGGCCCGTCTATGCAGTGCCTCCCACTTCATCTCCTATGGCTTCAAGCTCAACAGCGCCTTCGACTCCTTTTCCTCCTTCTTCAAAAGGAAAAGGGAAGGGCAAAGGCAAGAGCAAAGGAAAGAACAAGAACAAGAGCAAGAGTCCATCCAGGAATTTGACCTCGCGGACACAAAGTGCTGGATACAATTTGACTTGCTTGAAGTGTGGACAAGCCAGACATTGGGCTGCACAATGTCCCATGAATACCTCATCGCCGAAGAGTGCTTCCACCACCTCATCGCCTAAACGACAGAAGAGTGAAGCTGCGATGATGGCCTTGCCCGTCCATGGTTACACCGACGTCACCGCACAGGGCAAAGGTGTTTTTGGTATCTTGGATACTGGAGCAAGCAGTGTTGTGATGGGACACCAAACTATGCTCATGGTCCTCACCTACCTGCAAAGCAATGGTGTTGACATTGGTTGCATTGAGTTTCGCCCTGCAAACAAGTTGTTTCAGTTTGGAGGAGACCACACTGGACATGCTGCTTGGTCGATTCACTTGCCGGTGATCATTGACACCAAGTCTGGACGAATCCAAGTTTTCATTGTTGATGGCAGCACTCCATTCCTGGTTGGCAGGCCGATTTTGGCCCACTTTGGCATCAAGATTGACTACCAGAAGGACACCTTGTCTTACAACGATGGACCTTGGCATGACGCTCAACGAGGTTCAAAAGGAGAATACATGATGCCCATGTTCCTTGATGGTCAAGAGTGGACACCCCAACTTTGGCATTTCGACCTCATGACCGACGACACCATTGAGAATGTCCCCGACCTTCATGACGGTACAGTTGATTTTCAGAGCTATTTGGAACAGACAGGTCGCTCTCCGGGTGAAGTGCTTCTCCATGCCGATGACGAAGACATCATTGATGTGTCTGGTCAAGACATGAACTACGATGAAGATCCTGGAGCTGTCTACAAACCTGTTGGCCTGAAGTTGATGAAGAGCATCCAAAACCAACAACAATATCAACTGGCTCAACAGAAGCATATGGTTCATCAAGCTCTGGCCGTCTATGAGAAGGGACAGCTTCAAAGTTGGGAGCTATACAGTGGCAGTGGCAACCTCAGCAAGGAACTCGCCAATCTTGGCCATGCAGTTCTGACCTTCGACATCAACAATGGCTGGGATTTCACTCAGCGTGCTCACCAGAAAGCTTTTCTGGACCTGCAGGAACAGATGGCACCTCGCTTTGTTTGGCTTGCACCACCATGTCGAAAATGGAGCCCTCTTCAACGACTTCGATGCCGAGAACCATGGCAGCATGAAGTGCTTCAAGCTGAACGGGATGTTGAAGAGAACACACACCTCCGATTTTCAAAGAAAGTGTACTGCAATCAGCTCAAGCGCAAAGACCATGCCATCTTGGAGTCACCCAAACCTGCTGATAGTTGGAAGACAAGAACCTTCAAAAGTATGGATGATCGTTGGTACAAAGGACACTTGGATCAATGTGCTGTCGGAGCTCGACTACCTGATCATGACGGACAATGGCTTCCAATCAAGAAGCCTACAACGTTGGCAGCGTCAGATCCCAAGTTGGCTGAGATGATCACAGCTACATGTCCTGGCTGTCCATGTCATCTTCCACTTGAAGGCAGTTCTCCTATGATTGGCAACCGTGCTTCAGCTGCAGCAGTGTATCAGCCCTCCATGTGTCAACACCTGGCTCAAGCAATTCACCACTTCTTGATGGAAGAGATCTATGTTGGAGAAGACATTGAGCCTGAGAAGCAAGAACAACAATATAGAGGCATCATGAAGCGACTCATTCCCAAGAATGCCTCCGAAGCCACTCGGACGATCGCTCGCCTTCACAGGAATCTTGGTCATCCACCAAAAGCTCAACTCCGACGAGTTCTTCAAGAGCAAAAGTGCAGTGAACTCCTCACGCAGGCCTTGGAAGGTTTTGACTGCCCCTTGTGTCAGCAGAGACAACCTCCACCACAAGTTCCGAAGACTGGACTCTACCGTGGCACGTTCTTCAATGACCGTGTTCAGGCTGACACTATGTGGTTGAAGTTGAAGCGTGATGAATCCTCTCGACCGATCCCAATCTTGGTCATCTCTGACTGCACGACTCGGTTGGTAGCTGCTCGACTGTTGGCTTCCGAGACCACGAATGACTTCATACAAGCTTTGGAGCGCTCTTGGATTCGCCACTTTGGCACCATGAATGTCCTCCAGGTTGACGAACATCGAGCTTGGTGCAGTGATCAGATGCGCCATTGGGCATCAGAGCACAATGTGGAGTTGATGATCAGCCCTGGTCAAGCGCACGAGAGATTGAGCATCCTGGAACGTCGTCATCAAGTGGTTCGACGAGCTGTTGAACTTTTCCTCCTGGATACACAAGACTATACCGACGACGGCGTCATCCAGGCTCTATGCTATGTGATTCCTCAAGTGAACAGGATGCCAAATGTTCATGGTTTCTCTCCACTGCAATGGACAGTTGGCTACACTCCGAACCTGCCAGGTGCTATGATCGATGAACAAATCGCTCCTGCACAATTGACACCCTCAGAGGCCTTCCGACAGAAGATGCACTTCCAAGAGCTGGCAACACATACAATAGCAAAAGCAAGCAATGATGACCGACTTCGTCGTGCTCTACTTCGACAATACCGTGGTCGCACTCAGCAACTGGTCTTGGGACAGCGATGTCACTACTACAGGGACTTGCCTACTGGACAAGCTGCGTTGGGTCCCAAGATTGTTTGGCGTGGCCCTGCTGTTGTTGTGATGGTTGATGCTGAGCAGAAGATGTACTGGCTTGTGCATGGTACAGTGTTGATCCGAGCTTCATTTGAGCACACACGCCCCATCATCGACAACAACCAGTCAGATGTCAAGGACTCCTCAGGTCCAATGGATCGTGCACAACAAGCCCTCCAGCAGATTCGCGGTCGTGGAGTCACTCAGTACCTCGACCTGTCCAAATCCAACAAGAGAAAGCTGGAAGATGTGCAATCTGATGAGGAGAAAGAAGAAGAAGATGATGATATGCCCAACACTGAAGTCGCTCCACCAGAAGGTCTTCCTCCTGAACCGCATGGACTCAAGAGGTCATTGACCACTCACGATAGCGATGCCAGTGATGAAGCTGACAACAACTCTGAGTACACTCCAACGGAGCCACCTGAAGAACCTGGACCTGCTAAAGTACCACGGATTGGAGTCGACGAACCACATTCTCCATCTTTGCCAATGCCCTTGGAGCATGAGAGAAAGGAAGGCGACCCTTCGGGGGATGTTTTGCCAGAAGCTGAAAAGCTTGTGAAAAAGGAAGGTGACCCTACGGGGGAAATCGATGAAAGTTATAAAGAAAAGGCCGGAGAAACTTTTGCTGAAAAGGCCAAGCGATTCAGTCAACAAGAGACCATTTCTTTTGGGCCATCCAGAGCAAAAGCTTCGACAGAGTCTCGATCGACTCCCTACGGCAACAAGCCTCTCAGCGATGACTTTGCACTCACCTCGCAGGAGATCGGCATTGATCTTTTGAATGACTGTCAGCTTCCTGATGGCTGGCATTGTGAAGATGGTTTTGTGGTCATGGGAGAAGTGCATGACATGTGGGAACTTCGTGGCAACCACCTCATCTTGAACCACTTCCTGCCACGAGTTGGAACATATACTCCGACCACAGAAGACTGCCCTATCAAGCTGGAGTACCTGACCAAAGATCGTGATTCGTATGATGGTTCGCAACATCATCATGATCGCTGGAAGAAGAAAGGCACCACCTCCACTGGTGTCTGGACAGGTCAGACTCGCTTCAAGATCAACGCCTGTGATCGAAAAGCTGCCCATGAACAGTTTTACGCTGTTTCTCAAGGTCAGAAGACCATGGCAAAGAAAGCAGACAATGAAGTCAGTGAGCGACACCTCTGCCTTGCCGACCGCCTCTCGTTCACAAAAGCAAAGCAAAAGGAGCTTGAGTCCTTCTTCACCAACAACGTTTGGACCTTTGATGATCCAAAGAATGCTCCTAGTGAACGAATCTTGACGGCTCGCTTCATTTTGACTTGGAAAGTGCAACCTGACAAGTCAACAAAAGCAAAGGCTCGACTAGTTTTGAGAGGATTTCAAGATCCCGACGCTCTTTCTGGTGCATTGAACACAAACTCTCCCACCTTGACAAGACTGAGCCGAGGAATGATTTTGTCGATTTGCGAGATGCTTCAGTTTCGGCATTTTACCTCGGACATCAGCACTGCCTTTTTGCAAGGAAAGCCACATGGACCTGAACGAGTTCTCTGGGTTCGTCTCCCTAAAGACGCACAAAGGCTCCTTGGTATAAAAGATGGTGAGGAGAAAGTCATGAAATTGCACAAGAGCATGTATGGTCTTGTTGATGCACCACGCAGCTGGTACGTCGAGGCTGTTTCGAGGATCCTGAGCATCCCGGGCATCAAGCAACACCCCTTGGACGCTTGCATGTTCATGATTTTTGATTTGGACATGCCCAATCAGCTGAACCCTGAAGAACCTGGCGCCCTTGTTGGTTTGTTTGGCATCCATGTGGATGATTTGGTCGGAGGTGGCAACATGGATTCACCCCGCTTTTTGGAGGTCAAAGAACAACTGCAAAAGCTCTTCACCTTTCGAATGTGGCTGGACTCTGGTGAACTTGAGTATTGTGGCTGTAAGATTGAGAAGAAGGAGAACTACACCATCCTCCACCAGTCGCACTACCTTCACAAGATGAAGCCAATTTCGCTGCCAGAAGAGCGAAAGAAGCAGAGCACCTCCTTGTTGACAACAAAGGAAACTTCCATGCTCAGAGGCCTACTAGGTGGCCTTCAGTGGCCATCCACACAGACAGCACCCTTTCTACAATGTTCAGCTTCCCAGTTGTCCGGTGAGATCACTCGGGCTACGGTGGACACCATCGATCGGGCCAACAAAGTTCTCAGGATGGCAAAGACAAATGCTGACGCTGGTCTTCGCTACCATGCCCTGAATGGTGATCCAAGGGAAGTAACCTTTTTGGGCTACACGGATGCAAGTTTTGCCAGTCGCAAAGATCTGTCCTCTCAGGGCGGATTCTTGGTCCTGATGGTTCACAACTCCATCCTCAAAGGAGCAACTGGTGAATATAATGTCATTGATTGGAGGTCATGGCGTTTGCCTCGAGTCGCCCGTTCTTCCTTATCGGCTGAGAGCCAAGCTGCTTCAGAGTGTGCTGACTCCCTTCTTTTTGTCACCACTTTTTGGAAGATTTTGTGGCAACCACATCTAGCACTTGAGGATGAGAAGACACCTGTCCTTGTTCATCCACCTTCGATGGTGCTGGACGCAAAAGCCCTCTACGACCTGCTGACCAAGGACGAGATCCAAGCAGCATGTGGCGCTGATAAGCGCACGGCAATAGAAACTTTGGTTTGTCAAGACAAACTTCGTGCTTGCCGAGCTTCAGTGAAATGGGTGAGTTCGGAGATGCAGTATGCCGACAGCCTCACGAAGGCTGACAGCTCGCAATTGCTGGCTGACCGCTTGAGAACGCATGTCACGAAGATCACCTCCGACGAAGGCTTTCAAGCTGCAAAGAAAAAGGATGCCCATACCCGAAAGCGGAACACAGAGATGTTTGCTGTGAAGCGTGCTTCTCGAGCCATGCAGGCTATGTTCATGATGGGTTCCACAACACTTGCGCAAGCAACACATAACTTCACTACAACCTCAACCTCACCTACTACAAGCCTATGGGTTCTATGGGGAACTTTTCTACTTGGTCTTCTGTTTCTTCTCCCCTTCCTTTGGACGATGGTCCCCTGGAAAAAGCTTTGGCCGAAAGAAGACCCCCCTGACTCAGAGGACAATGTGACCTTGGCTGAGGACAACACGACCGATGCAAGTTCTCAGACTGAAGTCTCGAACTTGACCGACTCCTCGACTATGACGGAGTGGGACCTGCCGACCTTTCAGCGTCGCTTCCGCGAATGCACCCGACAGCTCGCGGATTTGCAGGTGAACAGCCATGTTCTTCACGAAGAACATCAAGCTCTCATGGAAGAGCATGAAGTGACGGTGAATGACCGTGAAGCGCTCATCGACGCATTCAACCAGTTGAAGGAAAATTTTGAGACAGTCAAAGAGCAGCGCAATGCCATGAAGGAGCGCTACATTGAGATCCAAAGGATCTTGCATGATGTTCAATTTGAGAAGGACCAGTTCATCAAAGAAAGGATCGTGACGATCATGGAGCAACTCGATCGGCAGAGCTTCTACTTCACAAGAAGCGGCACCGTGTTTCATCGAGATCGAGCTTGTTTGGAATGCCGGTCCATGCATGAGATTCAAGAAAGAGCACCTTGCTCTTTGTGCATCGGCGCTTTTGGCAGGACAATGCTGCGCCAAGCCCGCGAAATCCTTGGCATCCCCACCAATGACGACTACTGGTCGTTGAGCTTCCGAAGAGAGAGAAGAGAGGCCGGATTCGATGCGGTATAGAATTCAGAATTCTTGTTTTGGCAGAAAGCCCTTGAATTTTGTGCCAGAGCGCACAGAACACGAGGAAGCTTCACTTTCTTTTTCCACCAATGTGAATTTCACGCCGTGAAACGCATGAAACCAGGTGGGAAGAGTCTCTTGATGAGTTTTTGTTCCTGCTGCCCTTTTTAATCAAGGGCGGGCCTTGCGCATGGTGGCCTGACGGCTACGTGTCTGCGGCGACGACTTCGCTGCTTGGTGTGCTCCCGAGAAAAGGAGCGAGACTTCTACTTTTGTGCTGGACTTCGTGTGCTAGCCGCTTGGAGATCAACTAACTCTATCTTCCCTGATACTTTACCTACACCTCACCACAATACAACGACAACCCTGAGCTGCCAATTGTTGATCTCAACA